CAACTGGATGCAGACAAAGCATTTTTTAATTCCAAGCATGAGAAGCAGGTTGCTTCTGCTGGTATCAGGGCCAACAAAGTGTACAGGTTTGGAAACACTGGGTGCAAAGTCACTGTTGCTTGATTGACTGCTCTGAGATTGTGCACTGGGCAGTAATCATGGTGTCTGGCTTTTGGACTAATGGTAAGGGAGTATTCCAAGCAGATTGGCAAGATCGCAAGATTCCATAGTTTAAGAGGCTCTTTTTTTTATAGTAGTCATTGTTTTAGCCATCAGAATCTTACAATTGTCCTCCAAGCACTTCTTAAGCCAGGGAGGAGGATAAGCTGCTGATGACTGTCATATGGGGAGCTGGTCGGAGTGACCTGGCAACTCTGTCACTACCTGATAAACTCTACAAATGATTTCTTGATCTAGAGATCCCTTGGAAGGCCATCCCACTTTAAAGGACACCCAATCTATCTGAAAGAATTTTTAAAGATCTTGGGGTGTGGCTTTACCCTGTGATTACCTGTATATCCTTTTGTAAAGTTGTCAAGCATGCATTGTAAAGGAGTTATTTTACTCTGGTGCATTGTAAAAGGATCAGTTTACTCTTGTTCCCACCCATATTGAGACAAAGCACAAGAAGATCAGGGAGTTTGGAAATGAGGTGGGGCGTCCTCAATTTCTGACATGAAGGGGAGACAGACAACTTTCCCTTCCTCTGTCCCTAGCTGTTCTCCTCACAGAGATATTTCGGACGCTTATTGGCTATAGCAAGTCCGTATAAGCCCCGAACTGGTGCCCCAAGGGGGTGGCCCTAGACCTAATGAGAATGTCCCTGGCCTCTGGGAGTGAATTCTGCACACCATATGTCAACTGAAGTCACACTTTATTCATGCTTTCAATTACACAAACACATTCATCCAACCCAATAAACCTAGTCTGGAAGGTATCATAGCTTCCTCTTGAATAACCAAAACACAAAAAAAACAAATTCAGGAGTACAAGTGTGTACCTAGGGTTTGATCAAGCCCCTTTTCGTCCTCTCGTGGATTGGTCTATTTTGATGGGTCTGGGTCCAACCTATTCCAGACGGGCGCTGCTCCAAATTTTCCTGTTTTCTGAGGTCTCTACCCAGGTTTTGTTGGCATGTATGGACCTGAGGCCTCAGACTCTGTTGGAGGCCTAGACGGCTGGAGTAAGTGTCCAGAGGCATGGCTCAGCAGGGTGGTGTTCTCAGGAGCTGGGCCTCAGTCTTGACAGCCAGAGAGGAAAAATGCCAACTTTGGTCTCTCCAGTTCCAGGCCAATGCACCAGAAATGTTGCAGGGACGATGAGGGAAACAAAGTCACCGAGAGCATTTTTACAGGAAGCAGGGAGGTTATTACTCCAGCAGACTCAGGGGAGATAATTTCTCAAAGCCCCAATCCCTGATCAGTGTCAGGAGCTGGGTTAATTAACTTACAGAGTTTGCCTCTTATCCCCCCTTACTAACTCCCCTTTTAGTATGTGATTACAGTTGCTGGAAACTTTGCAAGGTTAGTAGGTGGCTGCAGTGATGCAGAGCTAGCAGAAAGCTGCTTGTAGACTCAGAGTGGTGAAACCAAGGTGAATACAAGACACAGTAAATCCCAGGAAAATAGTAAAGCAGGATCCAGCACTTCCCCAGATATATTTGCAAATATTTCCTTCCATTCTGTGATTTTAAAAAAAATTTCTTGATTCATATCTGGACACAGTGTAATAAAATGGAGACCATGAAGAAAGAACACATAGTAAAAACTATTAGAGAGGGAGGGTGGATTACCTTTAAAACTGTTTCAATCAGCCAGCCAAAGAACAATAGGTTCAGAAGATAATGGAGCAATGATTTAAAAATGATGAGAAAAAATGAATGCTTACCCAGAACTATTAAATAATTAATTATTAGCCAAACTATTAATTAAAAATGAGAGCAAATAAAGATATGAAAGGGGAGCGAGGGGTTAGAGCACTTGTCTAGCATGTGTGAGGCTCTTGAGTCAATCTGCAGCACCACAAAAATAAAACAAAGAATATATACATTTCTTTAAGATAAAATTCAAGGTTAAAAATACATCAGCAAAAGAGTAACATCAACTCATAATAAAAGAAATAACCCAGAGAAGAAACTGTAGCGATGAGTGTGGATACCTATAACCACAAAGTCCTAATGTATAGCAAACACAATATTGACAGAATGGGAGCGATTGGCAACTGAAATCATTTTTTCGTGCTGCTGGGGTTTGAACTCAGGGCCTCACACTAGCTAAGCAGGCATTCTGTCACTTGAGCCACACCTCTACTCTAACCCATAATGTGAGATTTTTAATATACCTTTATGATCAAGCAGACAAAAAAGTCAGCATAATATAGAAAGTTACTGATACTTAACTACTTTTCTTTCCTTTCTTTTGAGATGAGATCTCGCTATGCTGTCCTGACTGGCCTTGAACTTTTGGGCACAAGTGATCCCTCTGCCTCAGCCTCCAGAGTAGCTGGGATTACAGATGTACACCACTACACCCAGCTTTATTTTCTTATATAATACATTAGATTTTGCCTGTGTGATTGTGAAGTATAAAATGTTTACTATCTTGATGGGCTGGAGGTGTACCTCAAGCAGTAGAGTGCCTGCTTTGCAAATGCAAAGGCCTGGGGAGTCCCACTCCCCAAAAGTATTTACTGTTTTGTCTTTAATAGAGAAGGTTTGCTGAATTCTACTTTTTGTACTTAGCCCCATGTTCCTACTATTTATCAATCTTGTGGTGTGTAGTCTTGGTTCCTATATTTTCATTCTACATGATCATCTTTGAGTGGATATACCAAAATTTATTTATTCATCCACCTATTGGTGGATATTTCCCTTCTTGTCTTGCTTGGTGTGCCAATAGTTTATTTCTTCTTTAATCCTCTTAAAATATCAGCTGGAGTTTTGCCTATCTGCTCTAGTTTGTGTGATTTATTATTATTTTTTAAAAATCTCATCGCTGAAATTTCTCAGGCTGTGTGTCCAGTTACAGGGTCTCAGTGGTTTACAGAGTCTTGGATGTTGGCCTAGAAACCACTGATCCATGTTGTGATTCACATGTGAGGATTAGACTTAGTAAGATGGGCAGGATAGGTATGCAGAGGGCAATTACAGGTACCAGGATAGACGTTCCTACTTCAGTGCAGGTTCAGGTTGAACAGCTGAGAAAATCCAGAGTTGAGATGGTCAACCTGAGACTCCTACACCTGGGCAGACTATGGCTATGCTGAACTTGGTAGCATTATATTGAGAAGACTTCGGACTCAGTGTTTGGATGATCATTCTTTTTTTTTTTTTTTTGACAGGGTCTCAGGAGGTAACCCAGGCTGGCCTCAAACTAACCATAGTCCTACTTCAGCCTCCCGATTGCTGGGATTATAAACGCGTACCACCACACCTGTTTGGGTGATCATTCTTTTGGTAACTGAAACAGAGTTACAAGATTGAAGTTGAGTGTTCCTTTTCCAGAAGAACTGACAATAACCAAGCCAAATTCTAATCACTGAAGTTCTAAAAAAATGTTCAAATAACAACTCATAAGCAAGGACCAGATTAGGAAGTCAGTTAAACTAATTAGGGTTCATGGCTTGGGGGCTATGCATCAAGAAATGTGACAAAGCTAAGTTTGTTATGAGTGAAGGGATGTTCCTTGTGAGTGTGAGGATCACTGCTAGGTTTGATTTTAAGGCCAAAAGGGAGCACAGGTTTGGTACTTGGTTCCACAACCAGCTTAATTTGGTAGGGGAGGTGATATAAACCTTTACAGATTTGGGTTGCTGCACTTGGAATGGTTGCAGTATTGGGTACATGTATGAGGATGGCTCAGGAGTGACAGGCACCTGATGTACAGGACCAGCTGACATTCTCTGGATAAGGCAGGGGGAGGGAAATTCAGAGTGGAAAGAGGACTGACACAAAGCTTCTTTCAATTTAATGGCCACACAGCTATTTTTCAGGATAGACAAAACTAGGCTCAGTAAAATACTAAAGAGATGGAACTTGCAAGGATTATGGAAATTTTACAAAGTTCTCAATTTTGGCCTGAGTTTTCTTACATCTTTATTTCAGATGCTACATCCAAGATGCTCAGTAAATTCACATCTTCTCAAGAATTCCTGTTTAAACAGAAAAAAATGGATCTGTGTTACAGATTTTGAAAAATCTCCCTGGATTAGTGTAGGTCATTAGTGTAGCCTGTCAGATGCCTCTTCTACCAATGTTCCTTCTGTTACATTGACTAATCTCTCACTTTTTCATTTACCCAAAACTTAGTCATTATCATGACATGCAAGACACTGCAAAGATTTCTAGGAATAGAAAATGAGCAAAACAAAATTCATGCTTTGGAGTTACTCCCAAGGCCACTCCCCATCTTATGGTCGTGGAAATCAGTCATACCACAGCCCTGTGAGGCTCGACTGACTTTCTTATTCCAGTGATTGGGAAATCGAGTGTGGGCTGGAAGCTTAGTTGCAATGGAGCATGTTGCTGTGGAGATTTCAAAGGCCCAAGAAAGTGGAAGGATTTGATCTGGGTGATCTTAGTGCATGTAAGATAGTCAAGTCCTGGGTCACCATCATGTCTGGTTAAAAACCTTGCTATGCCATTTAATGTGATCTCGAACTGGTTGAGCTTGCATTCCTCAACCTGTCAGAGATAAAGAATAATATACATCTACTTTAGAGCTATTTTGATTTTAAGTTGTATTGAGATATGGTGATTACTTAGTGCAATACCTGGCATATGGTTAGTGTTCAATAAATGGTGGCTACTATATTTTGTCTGCATGATTGATTTCCTAACTAAAATGAGCAAATGATCCTGAGATCTTAACTTGTTAAACTTTTAGTTTGAACAATCTTCCTGTATTCCATCCCAAAACAGGGCTATCACCTAACTGATTTTCTCTAACCTGAGATCTTAAAGCCTGTCATTCCCCAAAAGACCAAGGATAGAACTGGATTCCTTACACTTTGGGTTTTTTAACACAGGCCACTTGACATTCTATTTTAAGATGGAAGTTGTTAAGGTTGCCATCGCAGCCACTGAAGAGAAAACTGTTACAGGTATCAGAGGTTTTGTTGTAGAAATATCTAAAGTGAATTTCATAGCAGCTGCCAGGATCCATAGGCAATATGCAGGGATCTGTATGAGAAGGTTAGGAAGAGATAGTTAGAGTGCAAGCAGGAAGGTTTGTCTTTATGAGCCCTTAAAAATTCCTCACATTAGGGCTGGAAGAATGGCTCAAGTGATAGAGCACCTGCCTAGCAAGCATGAGGCCCTAAGTTCAAACACCAGCACCCCCAAAAATAAAAAACTCCTTATATTAGCTTGGAGACATGCTCATATTCAGAGTCACTGACAGATACCTGCTTTTCTCTTGGACCTTGAATCACTCTGCCAGATTGCCTTGTGCAACGCAAATTGTTTGCGACTCAGGTTATGGTCCTAGGCAGTGACTTGGAAAAGTACTGGACTGTGTGAAAAGGAGGTTCCACCACAGGCTTGTGTAAAGTGGTGAGGTTCTCCACATTTCACATCTAACGGTTCCTTAAGGCACGTTATTCTTCCTCTCCATACCTGTAGTTTCTTATCTGCTTCACTGCTGCTTAGGACATACAATTTAGAACATGTACTCCCAGTTCTCATACACTAATTATAATATCCACACCTTAAAATTCTGCTAACTATGCCTGCTGCATTCCAAGTTACGTAACCATGCTGGGGAGGGGGGCTCTCACCCATCTACCATATCTTCTCTTCCTTTCTTGCCTTCCCAGAGATGACCCTTCCATTTTTGGGTGTAAGTGGTTGAAATAGCCACAATCATGGTTGTATTGCCAACCCAGCAATTGTTGCTTATCTCACTCAAGCAGCCAGTCTAGAATTTAATCTCTGGCAAAACCAGCTATTTAGGCACATTTGCATGCATAATCTTATTTCATACAGACACCCTCTGAAGTAAGTGCTTTTCCAATCTTCATTTTACACATGGGGAATGTGGTGATAAGAGATGGTAAGTGGGTTTAGTGACTTGTACAAGGACACACATCTGCTAAGTGGCAGGGAAGAATTTGGAGTCTGACTCCAAAGGAATAGATTGTACCACTTCCTCATGCTCTGGAAGCATTGTGCCTCTACACACGATCTATGGAGAAAAGCATCACTGCCTTTCGTAAGCGAATCTGAACAGGGACCGCATGCTCAGGAGTTCTATATATGTCCAGAGCCCAGATATTGAAAAGGCCTCCATTTCCTCAGTCTACAATTCTTTTTTTTTGGTACTGGAAATTGAACTCAGGGCCTCACTCTTTATAGGCAGGCACACTACCACTTGAGCCACTCTACCAGTAGTCTACAAGTCTTGTTCTCTCATCCCAGGCATACTCCTGAAAGGTCTGACCTCTTTTCCTTCCCCTCTCCCTCCCTACCTCCCTCCCTTCCACCCTCTCTCTCCCTTCCTTCCTTTCCTTCTTCCTTCCTTCCTTCCTTCTCTCTCTTTCTCTCTTTCATAGTTCTGTTATGTTTTGAATTAGTATATATCAATAAAACAGGTTTCATTGAGGTAATTCCATACATGTGTACAGTGCACTTTGAACAAGTTCACCCCCTCCATTATATTCCCATTCCCTCCCCCTTTTTATGCAGTGCTTGGTGGGTTTCATGATGATGTCATCAAACATGTATACTTAGCTTACTTCCACATCTCTCCCCACACAGTATCTTTTCCTTTCCCATTTCTCTCTCCTGTTGGGAGTCTAACCTTTTTGAAATTTGTCACACCCCTCCCTAATTCAAAATGCTTCTTAGAATGTCCTAGTCATGGAATAGGAAAAGGTCCCTAAAGACAAGGTCCATGCCAGAAGCAGAACTAAAGGTCTTCCAGAAGGATCAAACTCTGGTCCTGACCTAACCATACCTGGAGCCTAATTCCATGCTACACACCTGTCATCATGAATTTCTCTTCACTTTTGCTCCCCTCTTTTCAAAAATTGTGCCTTTGCATAAGGTCATATTTGCCACCTCAAAAATACTTTCAGTATTTTGAACCTCATACAAAAGATCTATCTAGAAAGGACTTATTTACAATTGTATTTTTTTTCTTACCAAATATCCACAGCCCCCAGTGTAAGTAGTGCCTTGAGTCATAGGATTAAGGGTCTATGGGTGTTGCCATAAAAGAGGACCTTCCTGACTCACCTAGATGGCACACTTCTTTTATCACCTTCCTCACTCATAATTGGTCTCTGGATTTATTTTCTGCCTTGATTTCCTACCTTTGAATTTTCCACATATCATCTCAGAAATTCTTGTCATACCACTCAGTATTGGGGTGGTTAGTGAGCAGAAGATGAAGAACTTTAGAAAAAGTGCCAGCTTAGCAGGCATGATGGTGCACCAAACAGCAGGTAGGAAAGTCCTGGTGTTGACAGCTGTTATATTTTGGACTTGATACTTGAGAGGACTGAGCCCACCTACCCCAAGGGCCAGGATTGGGTATTACTGGGTGTTGAGTTGAACACTGAGTGCTTGAGTACCCAGCCATGAAGCTGAAGGTCCCAGACCGATTAGACCCCTGATAGTGAGTCCTGTGCACATGTTGAAACCATAGAAACTTAAGGATCAGAGCTTTTGCATATGTTTAACCATAGAGGGTTGAACCATTAAAGCAAGGAATTTAAGAATTGCTTCCTTTCCATTCTTTGACCTTCTACAGCAGTGAAAACGTGATCTTGGAACTCCAGAAACAATGCAATAATCCCAGTATTAAGTGTAATAGGTTGGTTATAACCATTAAAGTTCTTCCTTCATGAGAGACTGCTTTAAGTAGTTTATATAGACTAAATCATTTAATGATCACACAGACTCCATGAGATAGATACATTTTTTTATCATCATTGACAGATGAAGAAACTGAGACAAAGGTTAAGTTATACATACAAGTTCATTTATCTATTATGTGCTGGACATCTGATTTGAACTTGGCTTCAGAGTTTATGTATTTTGTTTTGTTTTGTGCTTTGGAGACAAGGCCTTGCTATGTAGCCAGGGTGGCTTGGAACCTTGAACTTGCATCTTTCTACCTCAGCTTCCTGAGTACTGGGATTATAGGCTGACACCACCACACCCAGTTCAGAGTTTATGTTTTTAAACAATACACTATACCACCTAGAAACATGGGGACATCTTGAGTCCATCTTGTTTCATAAGTTTTGAAATTTTGACTCACACTTATAACCTAAAATTACCTGACATTGATTTCTTTTGGTAAAATATGAAATAAGGATCCTTTTCCATTTTTCCAGTGACTCCAGACCTGTTTATTAGTGAGTTCATCTTTTATTCAGTCATATACTTCATTTTTTGCGACAGTGTCTTACTATGTTGCCCAGGCTCCTCTCAAATTCTTGAGCTCAAGTAATCCTCCCACCTCAGCTTCCCAAGTGCTGGGAGTAGATGGGCACACCACCATGGGTCGCTACAATAATATATAATAACTTTACTTGTATAGGTGGAATTGTTTCTTAGTTATTTTTTCACTTCACTGTATTTTCCTGCTTTAAAGCCACACTTAATCTCTTGAACTTTATATTATCTTAGGGTTTTGCACTTTCTATATAAGTTTTAGAGTCATCTTAATAAGTTCTTTAGAAAACCCATCTGGGACATTGATTTGAGTTGTATTGGTTCTATAAATCAACTTGAGATGAATGGTATCCTTACAGCATTGTCTTTGGTATATAATTTTCTGTCTATTTTGGTCTTCATGAATCCTTTCCAAGAAAGGTTTCTGATGTTTCTTGTACAGACATTACAATGTTATTTACATTTTTATATTATTGTAAATGGTGTCTTTATTGGCGATACTGGGGTTTGAACTCAGGGATTGTAATTGCTAGGCAGGAACTCTACCACTTAAGCCATGCTTCCAGTGTAAATGCTGTCTTTAAACATTGCATTTCTTTCTGTTTTTTCTGGTATACAAACATGCAATTTATGTTATACATTTATCTTATATCCAGCCACCTTCCTATAGCCTCTTGTTATTTCTAGCAGATTTTTTTTTGTGGTACTGGGTGTTGAACCCAGGGCCTGGTGTTTGCTAGGCAGGTGCTCTACCACTTGAGCCATTCCCCTGTCCCCTCTTGTTCTTTCTAATAAATTTTATGTGGTTCCTTTTGCCTTTTTAAAGAGACAATAATCATCTGTGACTAATGACAGTTTTGTGCCTTCTTTTTCAATTATGAATGCTTTAAATTTAAAATTTAAAAACTTATTGCTGTAATTAGGATCTCAAGCACATGTGGACTAGAAGCAGTGTAGTGATCATCTCTATCTTTTTGTAAATTTTATTTAAAAATTATTATATTATTATTGTACTGGGAGTACATTGTGACATTTACAAAACTGCTTATATCTTAATTATATTTATCCTTTCCATCCTTTGTGCAGATTTTATAGGACTCCTTATGATGGTTTCAGCTTTAAGAATAGTATAGGGCTGTGGGAGTAGCTTAAGTGGTAGAGCACCTGCCTAGCAAGCTTGAGGCCCTGAGTTCAAACTCCAGTAGTGTAAAAAAAAAGATGTATACTATACACCTGCCTAGCAAGTGTGAGGCTCTGAATTCAATTCCCAGTACTGCCACCCTTCCTCCACTGAAGAATGGTTTACCCTGCAGTGCTTCCTTTTGTTAGGAATATTGCCTTATATTCCCAGCATGCCAAAGACCTTAAAATGCCATGAATACGTATTGAAGTTTGTAAAATGATTTTTTTGTACCTCTCAGGATAATCATATTTTTTCTTTGATTTGTTATTTGGTGAATTATAGTTATAGATTTAAAAAACAACTTCAGTTCCTTGAGATCTATGCTTAGCAGTGGGATTGCTGAATGACATCTAGTTTTACTTTTTTGAGGAATGTGAGAACTTACATTCACCTTTCTCTACATCCTTTCCTTACCGGGATTTGTTGTTTTAATCTTTTTTTTTTTTTCCTTTTGGCAATATTGGGTTCTAACATTAGGGTCTTGTGCTTGCTAAGTAGGCACTCTTCCACTCCGAGTCCTTTTCTGTTTTAGTTATATAGTTATTTTTCAGATAGGGTCTCAAGGTTTTTCCCAGGACTGGCCTGGGACTAGCCGTGATTACAGGTGTGTACTACCACACCTGGTTTCTGTCTTTTGGTAATAGCTATTCTCTCTGGGGTGAGAAACCTCTCACCATGGTTTTGATTTGAATTTCCCTGATGACAGGGAGCATTTCTCATATTCCTCTTGGCCATATGTATGCTAACTTTGAGAATTGTTTTTGGGTCCATTTTTAAATTGGACTTTTTGTGGGTTTTGGTATTGAGTTGTTTGAGTTCCTTACATGAATATTAACTCCTTGTCAGATGCATAGTTTGCAAATGTTGCTCCCATTCTATCAGTTGTCTCTTTGCTCTTTGTTTTCTTTGCCGTGAAGAAACCTTTTTGTTTTTTGTCTATTTTTGCTATCGTTTCCTGTGTTTTTGAAGTTTTATCCAAAATATCATTGCCTAGTACAATGTCATGAAGTGTTTGCCCTATGTTTTCTTCTAGTAGTTTCAGAGTTTTGACTCTTATATATAAGGCTTTAATTAATTTTGAGTTGATTTTCATATATTGTGAAAGACAGGAAACTAGGGTCATTTTTCTGCCTGTGTATATCTAGTTTTCCCAACACTATTTACAGAAGGGACTGTCCTCTGCCCATTTGTATTCTTGGCACCTTTGTAGAAAACCAGTTGACTGTAAATGTGTAGATTTCTATCTGGGTTCTCAAAGTGCCTGCTCTTATACCAGTGCCCTGCTGTTTTGCTACGATAGCTTTGTAGTATATTTTGTAGTCAGGTTGTGTGATACCTCCAGCTTTATTATTATTATTATTATTTGCTCAAGATTGCTTTGGCAAGGGACTGGTGGAGTGGCTCAAGTAGTAAGAGTACCTGCCTAGCAAATGTGAGGCCCTGAGTTCAAATCCCAGTGCCACCAAAACAATACAACAAAAACCCTTTACAAGATTGCTTTGGAAAGCTGGGGCACCAGTGGCTCATGCTTGCAATCCTAACTACTCAGGAGGCTGAGATTGGGAGGATGAGGTTTGAGGCCAGCCCAGGCAAATAGTTCACAAGGCTCCTCTTCAAAATAGCCAGAATGAAAAGGACTGGAGGTGTGGTTCAAATAGTGGAGTGTCTTCTTTGCAAGTGCGAAGCCCTTGGTTCAAACCCCAGTCCCACCAAGTGAAAAGAAAAGATTGCTTTGGCTATTTGGGGTCTCTGTAGCTCCGTACAAGTTTCAGGATAGGGATTGCACTGAATCTGCAGGTTACTTTGGGTAGTATGAAAGTTTTAACAATATTAGTTCTAATGCATGAATACAAGATCTATTTCCATTTTCAACTCCTTTTACTTTTTGGTGGGACTGGGGTTTGAATTCAGGGCTTTGTGGTTGCAAAACAGGTGCACTACTGCTTGAGCTATGTTTCCAGCCTTTCAACTTCTTGGCTAAATTTATTACTAAATATTTTAATTTTGTAGATATTGTGAATAAGATTGCCTTATTTATTTCTTTTTTTAGTTTGCTATTGGCATATTGAAATTATACTGTTTTTGTGTATTTATTTTGTATTCTGCAACTTTACTGAATTTATCAGTTCTAATGATTTTTTTGGTGGCTTCTTTTTTCCATATAAGTGACCATGTCATTTGAAACAGGGTTAATTTGTCTTCCTCCTTTCCAATTTGGATGCCCTTTTTTCCTTTCTGTTGCCTAATTGCACTGGTCAGGACTTCTAGTGCTATATTGAATAAAAGTGGTGAAAGTGAGAGGGCCCTGGTGGCTCATGCCTGTAATCCCAACTACATGGGAGGTGGTGATCTAGAGGATTAGGGATTGAAGCCAGCCTGGGCAAAAAGTTAGTGAGACCCCGTCTCAATCAATAACTGGGTATGGTGGTTTATACCTATGATTCTCCTGTGTGGGAAGCATAAACAGGAGGACTGCAGCCGATGGCCCTTTGATGTGTGGAAGCTTTTCAATTTGGAGCAATCCCATTATTCAGTTCTTCTTTTATTTCCTAAGCAATTGAAATCCTATTCAGAAAATAATTGCCTATATATTCAAGTGTTTTCCTGTAGTTTCAGGTCTTTAAGGTTTTTGATCTATTTTGAATTGGTTTTTGTACAGGCTGAGAGATAGGGGTCTAGTTTCAGTCTTCTATATGAGGATATCCCATTTTCCCAATAACATTTGATGAAGAGGCTCTCTTTTCTCCACTGTATGTTTTTGGCAGCTTTGTCAGAGATCAGATGGCTGTAACTATGTGGGAATTCTATTCCATTTCCTATGTGCCTATTTTTGTACCAT